CATAGTGACGTCCTAAAGGACACGATGAAGTTCTTTCGCGCCATGGATCTGATGTTTTCCAGCGATATTGAAAAGGGAGTGGTGCGCAGACAGTTAATGGCTTGCAAACAGGGGAGCCGATCTGTACGTGAGTACTGGACTGAGTTCACCATGCTGATACACAGATTGGGGTGGGACTTATCGGCGGAACCCATTCAAATGCTCTTTGAAGAAGGGCTTTCTTCGGCTGTGAAAGATGAACTTTCCCGGGCGCCCAGGGTGGAGTCTATGGACCAGCTGACCAAATCAGCGCTGGCCATAGGAGGCGCCAGGAGGCGAGAGCATTGGAGAGGCGGGAAGGGAAGGGGAACGTTGGAAGGAGTTCCGCATTCCAGACATTCCAGAGCCAACTTTCCCGCCGGCAGAGCCGATGGAAATCGGAACAGCGCGCGCGCGCAGTTTCAAAGCCCAGTGAGGGGGGGAAAAAGGAGGGAAAAGGCGCCCGGAAATGCTATCTCTGCCAACAGCCAGGGCACTTTGCCAGAGTCTGCCCCCAGAGGAAGGAATGGCAAGGGATGGTGGGAGCTGTGGAGGGAAGAGAGGAAAAAATACCGGAGCAACTAATAGCGTTTAATGTGGCCACCTTGGGAGGAGCTCCCATTATATTGGGGATGAGCTGGCTAGCGTTACATGATCCGCTGGTGGGCTGGCATCAAAGAGTGGTTTCTTTTGGGTCAGCACATTGCTTAGAACACTGCAAAGAGGGAAAGGTTTTGGCAGGGGCCCAAGCCACCCTAGCAGGGACTGAAGTAACGGAGAACGTGAAGGTACCACGACAATACGCAGATCTCCGCGACGTCTTCAGCGAAAGGGAAGCTGACCAACTACCACCGCATAGAGCCTTTGACTGTCAAATCAATTTGCTCCCTGGGGCACAGCTCCCTGTGGGCAAGCTGTACGCCATGTCAGACAGAGAGATGCAGGAGCTAAGAGAGTTCATTGACAAGAACCTGAAGAGAGGGTTCATCAGAGAGTCCAGGGCGGTGGGGGGCAGCCCAGTGTTTTTGTGGACAAAAAAACACGAACAAGCCGAGACTGGTGTGTGACTTCAGGGCCTTAAATGCAGTGTCAGAACCAGTGGCCTTCCCGATGCCCAGGATTGACGACATTTTGACAAGGGTGCGGAAGGGAAAGATTTTCACCAAGCTGGATCTAAGGGGGGCGTACAACCTGATACGAATAAGGAAGGGGGATGAATGGAAAACCACCATGTTCACCCCCTTTAGGGGCATTTGAATACTTAGTTATGCCCTTCGGTCTACAAGCAGGCTCCGCAACATTTCAATCGTTTATGAACCACGTCCTGGGGCCGTTGCTTTACAAGAATTGTGTGGCCTTCTTAGACGACGTGTTGGTGTATTCTGAGAATGAGGAGCAGCATGTGAGAGACGTCAGAGAAGTGTTGAGCAGGCTGCAAGCCAACCAGCTGTGGGTGAAACTGGAGAAGTGTCAGTTTCATACCAAGGAGGTGGAATTCCTGGGGTATCGCCTGTCTGACAAGGGGTTGGCCATGGATCCCGGCAAGGTCCAGGCGGTACTGGAATGGAAAACACCCAAAACAAGGAAGGATGTGCAGAGGTTTTAGGATTTGGGAACTTCTATCGTAAGTTCATCCCAAACTTTGCCCACCTGACGGCGCCCATTACGGACTGTCTCAGCAGTAAGAAGAAGTTCGTTTGGACGGAGGAGGCGGAGCAAGCATTTGAGGAACTAAACAGGGCCTTCGCCTCGGAACAACAGCTCCTGCATGTGGATTTACAAAAACCGATGAGAGTGGAAACTGACGCATCAGACAGAGCGGTTGGGGCGGTGCTTCTCCAGCCAGGGAAGGAGGAGTCAGAGTGGAGACCGTGTGCTTTTGTCGCGAAAGCTGAACAAATCCGAGAGGAACTACACGGTGTATGACCGAGAACTACTAGCCATTCATGAGGCGTTCCGGAGATGGAGGCACCTGCTAATTGGCGCGCAACATAAGGTGCAAGTGTGCACTGACCACAAGAACCTAGAGTATTGGAGGACGGCACGAGTGCTCAACCAACGGCAAGTGAGGTGGGCCCAGGAATTCTCCAAATTTAACTTTGAGATTTGTTACGTGCCAGGCCCAGAGAACATTAGGGCGGACGCTCTCTCACGCAAACCTGAATATTTGGAGGGGGGGGAGCACCCGAAGAGAGACATGTCATTCCAGAGGACCGCTGGGTGTGTGGGGGCGGCATTGGTGGGACAAAGAGAACTGGTAGAAGAAACAGAGAATGATGAATACGCCCAGAATAAGCTCAGAGGTCTTAGGGATGAGGGAGAGGAATCAAGGGGTTTCGAGGAAAGAAATGGAGCTTTGTATTACAAAGGGGCACTGTATATCCCTGAAGGAGACTTAAGGGGGAGGGTACTCAAGCAGTTGCATGACAGCCCCACGGCGGGGCATTTTGGGCAACACAAAACCATGTGGTTGGTCACCAGGGAATTTTGGTGGCCTAAGGTGAGGGAGGATGTACGTGAGTATGTAAGAGGGTGCGAGCAGTGCCAGCGAGCCAAAGGGGAAAGGCGGGCGCCGGCGGGGCTATTAGGAACCCTTACCAACACCAGAACGACCTTGGGAGGCAGTGTCGATAGATTTTATGACTGATCTGCCGAAGTCCAAAGGGAAAACAGCCATCATGGTGGTGGTAGACCTACTAACAAAGATGTGCCACTTTGTAGCTTGCTCGCATGCAGTCACGGCGGAAGAGACAGCGAAGTTATTTGTAGAACACATTTTTAGGTTGCACGGGGTGCCATTGAGGGTGGTCTCAGACCGAGGAAAACAATTTACTTCCAGGTTCTGGAGGAAGCTCATGAGCTTACTGCAGGTGGAGGTCAACTTTCGACTGCCCGGCACCCTGAAACCAACGGGCAGGCGGAAAGAGCAAACGGTGTCCTCCAGCAATACCTGAGGTGTTATGTCAATGACAGAGAGAATGACTGGGTAGAAAAGTTGGCGCTGGCGGAATTTGCCTACAACAATGCCGAGAATGTGTCCACAGGGATGAGCCCCTTCTTGGCTAATTATGGGTGTCATCCCAGGGCTTTCCCAGGGGAGAAGGGGAGAGATGGAGCGTACCGGCAGCCGAGCATTTTGTAGAAGAAATGGAAGCAATCCACCGTCAGCTCCAACTCAACTTAGAAAGGGCGAAGGAAGAATACAAGAGGCAGGCAGACAAGAACCGAAGGGAAGGTGAAACCATAAGGGTTGGAGATAGGGTGTGGCTGTCAACCCGAGGGTTGCCGTTCAAAGGAGGTTGTAAGAAATTAAGACCCAGGAGGTTGGGTCCCTTTGAGGTCATTCAACAGGTCAACCCAGTGGCTTTCAGGCTCCGGTTACCCAACCACATGAAACTGCACCCAGTATTTCACAGGTCGTTACTGTCACCGTACGAGGGGGGACGAGAAGGGATGGCCACTCGGGGACCGGTCATAGAAGAAAGAGAATGCAGCAGTCATGTGGCAGAAATCCTTGATGCCAGGTGGAAGGGGAATCAGGTGGAGTATTTGGTAGCGTGGGAAGGAGAACCGGAGTCAGAAAACACGTGGGTAATGGCCGAAGATATCAATGACGAGGTATTGATAGAAACGTTCCATCAAAGGTTCCCGAGGAAACCTCAGCCTGTGGAGAGGTTCCGGAGGGAATACTTTGGGACCACTGAGGAGGAGGAGGAGTTGGAAGGATTCCCAGAATCGGAAGGGGAAGGGAGACGGACTCGGAGGAGGAGGAGTGCTTCGAGACCAGGAACCGCAACAGGTGGAGAGAAGTGTTCGAGACATCGGAAGATGAAGGAAGTTCATTCCGGGTTTTGCCTCCTCACCGCCCGTAGAGGAGGGGGCGAGAGGGGGTGAAGGGGGCCCTGGAGGGGGAGGTGGATGTCAGGGAACTGCCATCGGAAGGAAGGAGGTGAAAGGACTCAGACAGGTTGGAAGAGACTCAGCAGCTGAAGAGGGAACCAGCAAGGAGAGAAGCTGAACTGAGGGAGGTGAAAGGGCTCAGACAGGTTGGAAGAGACTCAGCAGCTGAAGAGGAAACCAGCAGGGGAGAGAAGCTGAACTGAGGGAAAGGGAGCTGGGGGATGGCTCAGAGATACTTCCAGCGAAAACAGTGGTGAGGTTTCCGGACCTCCTGTAGGGACACCCACTCCTCGCCGGAAACTGTCACGCAGAGAGTCCAGAAGACGTGTTTCCGTTAAGGAGCTTTTATGTTGGAAGCGATTACGAAAGCAACCACTGTCGGAATCTTCTAGTGACTAGAGGAGCCATGTCAGAGGGGCTCAGTCACAGACAGAGGTTTGTGGACTTGAACAAACTCTGAGGGAATACGATTTTACGCACAAGCAGCTCATCTTCCCATCACA